TTTCCAATACAATACATAATTACAAGTTAATGTCTTAGAACAGCTGACAACTGGTGAAATGTAAGTGTCGATTACTGATTTCACAATAAACTCATGATTGATCAGTTAGTTCGATATCAAGAGCAAACATGGATCTGTACATCACACTATGGAGTAGAATAAAATGTAATTAAACAAGTGTCTAATCTAAAGAAGTTGGAAAATGTTTGGAACATAATAGAGAAATCATAAAAGACTGATTGAATTTCACTTTGACGTCTCGTTTGTAATTTTTCAAATAATACATTTCGATACGTTCCATCAGTGTTAATCGGCCAAACATCTTCAAACTGGTGGGTTTCCTAACATTCTTGTACCACAAGATATGTATTTTCTATAGGTATTGTACAATGGTGTTGTGTAACAATTTATAGATAAAGTCAACAAAATAGGATGAAAAAATGTGTGAAAGATAACTGTCCCTCACTTAATTTTGTTACATTTCTTTCTCTATGTCATTAGAAAGGATATCTTTTATCTATTTTTTAAGATTGAACTTATAACTTATATCTGGTTTATCATTTCGAATTATTGCTCACTTACACCTATTATTCCCGATGGAGCATAGTCCGCCGACCAGCATTCTCCAACCCACTCTGTCCTTGGCCTTTCTTTCTAGTTCTATCCAATTTTTGTTCATTCTTCTCATGTCTGTCTCCATTTTTCGGCGTAATGTGTTCTTTGTCCTTCAGGATTCCTGTGAGGGCTTGCTTTGTGACGAATTATTGCACTTGGTCTTAAGTTCGTCTACTGAAATCCATCACAGAATCATATCAATTTATTTTATTGTTGAAAATATGCATTAAAATGTTCTGAACACACAAATTTAATGGAAATGAAGGCTGAAAGATGTCTAACCTCTATTCATTTCATCAGACTGATCCGTTTATTTTAAGATCACATAATTTTGTAAAGTTTTGTTTAGCTAAATGTAGAAGGTATTCCATAATAATGTCTTTTGTGGACGATTTCCTGATTACTGACCTTTTTAATTGAAACGATTTCTAAAATCCGCTCCCATCGGCTGTAAACTGAACTTTCCGATACAAATTTATACTACTTACTAATAGTAGTTAGTACCAAAAGATAGTTAAGCATGTATACACTTCTAGACACTAGCTGTATTTTATATTTCGATCAAGAAATAAATTCCCATAACATATCCTTTGTTGTATGTTGACATATATAAGTGGTATGTAACATCAATAGGAAGTGAGATGTATGCCAACAAGAGATTTAGAAAATTCAATTGAAGAGAATAGAAAGGGAAACAGAGAGTAAATGTAATAACAACAGAATTGAGAGAATCATGAAGCATGTAAAGGACAACTGAAGGAAGATGTGCAAATTATGTATCTGATGTATGGTTTTCATACTTTGCGAAAGAACTCTGTAATTCTGCATCTTAGTTCTCGCTTACCACCCCTTTTAACTGACTTTAGACCAAAATGACAATATTACTCGAAGTAGTATGTGTCAGCTTTGCGTGTGTGATTTTATATATCCTAAATATGTATTCGTTAATCATGGAAATCAGAATGATGGAAAATCTAATATTCTGTCACTGAAAAATAATGGTATTTTGACCAAATGTTAGGTACGGTCACAAAATGGTAAGTAAAACTATTATATTCAATTCCATATTTAATATTTATATGACGGATTTCAGATTTGTGTAGCAAGCACAGAAGGCCTACAGCCTATGTTAGTCCTTTTCTAGTATGCTTCCGTGAGTGTCCAATCTTCGCCTGAATGAGTCAATTGAAGGTGAGGACACCAATACTTCGGGTAACAGCTTCCAAGAATTGATGGCTAGGTGTGAAAATGTGCATGCCACAGATATTTTTTTCGTTCTTGACCTTTCTACCCACATGTTATGTCAACTGAAATGTCCCGACCTAGTGAGAAGAAAAAGAGGGGTATATTAGGTTCAAAATCATTTCTTAGCATTCTATACATCAAAATCAGATCACCTCCTAATCTATGGTAGGACAGAGTAAATTGGTCTAGCTTCTCGAGCCACTCTTTGTATGGGAAACCCCAGTGTTCTGGAACTGTATGGATAGCTACCCATCGTTTATGGAGGACAGTTGACAGACTCGTTCGAACCAAAGACTGGTGTTAGGCAAGGTCATTGTCATAAATATTCCGATCAATATATAATTGGAAATAGTACAAGTGTGCCATAGTTGTTTTATTCATGTATAACTCGTTTTTAACCTCCAAATATTAAACCCACTTCATAAGGTTTATCATTAGGAAAATTCTATTATTAAATATTCTACATTCGTAAAACTAATTTTGTCATCTTTTAAAAATATATATACATACCAATAGTTGAGATCATGAGTCAATTGAAGCTAAACCATTATGGAAAACCTGGAAGCACTGGATGGCCATTTCGTCCTAATGTGGGAATTCTCAGCCGTGCGCATCTACGATCCCTCCTTGAAAGATTAAAAGGTAATATATATAACCTTGTTTTGTTTCTTTTGAGGTGACACAATTTTATTTTGATTCGTCGATGCTTCTTTCTCTGAAAACTGATGTTGTATACAACTATTACAAAGCAAAATTCTCAATATCCTATTCTATCTACTCAACTTACAGAAAATAACATCACAAATATGTTTGTTCAAGCTACAAATTTTCATTTTAAAATAAACTTATAAGTATCATTTCTTTTTAGTCAATAGTATCTCGCACAGAAAAATTAATTGTATCATGTTAACATTAAATTACTTGACAATTTGTCATTCGTTTTATTGAAAAATTAATTCTCACTGTACAAATTACATAACTTAGGTACATGGTGAAGCCTAGTAGGTCCTTCTGGAGAAGAGTGCTACATCGAAGCACAGCACAACTACCAGGACGCAATAGTTGTTTTTGCATTGCGTACGCACCCCCAAAATGCCCTGGTACGGCCGAGAGTGGGGAGAGCCTGTAGTATCAGTTTATATGTTAAGCCCATATACTTTATTCTAGTTGCTGGTCAAGCCAATTCGCCTATCCATTATGAGTCATATTTTGATCTTGTTAATCATTTGCTTATTAACCTTGACTATACTTTTATATGAGCATGTATGTGTACACTTCGTATCTTATTCATCATATGTCTGTCACTCATTTTTGTTTGACTATAAATGTTGATTAACGATTGCTTAAATCGAGTTGGCATCCCAGCCATCTCCCATGCATGTCATTTCCGCCTCGTTCGCTTCCTTCGCTTATTCGCCTGTTCACTCGCTCGTTATTATTCGCTCAGGTGTTGTTAGCTTTCTGACCTGAGTTATTCGACAATAAACTGTAGTTTCTGCTATCCTTTGTTTTCTGATTTTACGCACCGTTAAGACTAGAATCTTAACGGTTATCGAAGTAAACGATTAACGAATCGCGACACTACAGAATTGGATATCTCGCCGTACGAGCACGACGCAACCGAAGCCCGCTCTCCCTCTCCAAATGCTCTCACATGGCCACGCGTATATAGCCTCTGCCAGGCAACTCCTATTCACTGTCTTCTCTTGGCACTACTGTTGTTTACGAAATTTAGAGGACGAAAAGCGAATGTCCGACGCTTTAAAAGGGTTGGTGGACACGGATGGTCCATCTAGGGGAGTTGAAAAATCCTGATTCCAAACCAATGGTGCACATGGGCTCCAGGATCCTGAAGGAACAAATGGCGTATGAATCAATCGTTTTCACCGTCTACCATGGGACTGCATCTCCTTACGGTGCTCCATCGTCTTGTGGATCAGATCTTTCGGTCAAAGGCTCCGAGTGTGGCCCCCTAAAAAAACCACCTGTTTCAGTTTGGGCACCTGGACAGTATCACAGTCCTCACACAAATCGAATGGGATTTGTATGGCGCATATGTATCTGGTGTTTCCCTGTACCAATATTTCTGTGTTTAAATAAATAAATAAATAATTGCATATACAGAATCATTCCATAACACTTCCATTCTTTTTTTCCTTATTTTTGGACAGACCCTTTTTTACCATCTTTTTGATTCCTCAATAGTTATACAATCACTCTTTGTACCATTCGTAATCTTTTGTGGGTATAGGTAGAGTGGTTTATTAAGTCGATCTCCACCACTTAGGTTACCACTCACGTTAGTACATGGGATAATTGTCATGATCCATCAGGTATGACGAGAACGTGTGAATCGGATTTCGCCTCCCACATCACTTACTGTGGTTATTTATATAGTGATGACACGTTATCATTTATTGTAACTGTAAGAATGATTATTTATATCTAAAGATATATTTACTTTATATGTTGACACTATTAAATTAATAATGTAACTGTGCATTACTCGATATAATCAACTGTTCAAATAAACTGTAGTTCTAATATTTCAACAATCTAGAATTTATTGTTGTTCTTTTTATCATCATTATCGTCATCATCATTATAGTATTGAATTGTTTACTGAAGATATAATTCATTGAGCATCTGAACAGATGTTTTATCAAAAATATGGTCACATGCTTTGGGCATAAACACTATAAACTGCCGTGATAATGAGTAGATTGTAGAATATCTACAGAAAATACATATTTTGTGGTTTAGCAGTGTTCGAAAATCCACCAGTTTGAAAATGTTTGGCCGATTAACACTGATGGAACATATTGAAATGTAGTTTTTGAAAAATTACAAATGAGATATTGAAATGAAATTCAATCAGTATTTTATGCTTTCACTATTATGTTTCAAACATTTTCTAACTTATTTAGATTAGACAGTTGTTTGATTACATTTTATTCTACTCCATGGTGTGATGTACAGTTCCATGTTTGCTCTTAAAATCAGGTTAACTGACTAATCATGGGTTCATTGTGAAATCAGTAGTCTACACATAAATTTCATCAGTTGTTAGCTGTTCTAAGACATTAAAGTGTAATCATATATTGTAATGGAAAGAGTGATTTATGATGGTATTTCAGGTTATGGATTTGACACCAAGATATGAGTATGGTTCGAAAGTGAGAGTTTGTTTACTTTATATGTTGACACTATTGAATTAATAATGTTAATGTGCATTACTTGATATAATCACCTGTTTAAATAAACTGTAATTCTAATATTTCAACAATCTAGAATTTATTGTTGTTCTTGTCATCATCATCATCATCATCATCATCATCATCATCATCATCATCATCATCATCATCATCATCATCATCATCATCATCATCATCATCATCATCATCATCATCATCATCATCATCATCATCATCATCATCATCATCATCATCATCATCATCATCATCATCATCATCATCATCATCATCATCATCATCATCATCATCATCATCATCATCATCATCATCATCATCATCATCATCATCATCATCATCATCATCATCATCATCATCATCATCATCATCATCATCATCATCATCATCATCATCATCATCATCATCATCATCATCATCATCATCATCATCATCATCATCATCATCATCATCATCATCATCACCATCATCATCATCATCATCATCATCATCATTATTATTATTATTATTATTATTATTATTATTATTATTATCGTAGTATTGGATTGTTTACCGAAGACATAAGTCATTGAGCATCTGAACAGATGTTTTATCGAAAATTCAAGAGGTGCTCAATGTTATTATTGTAATGAATGAAAAGTATATTAATCAAATTCAATGAAATAAACATTATGAAATTTATATATAACCTGACTCTTCATAAAAAAACAATCATTTATTTCAGGGTTATAAATAAAATACAAAACTTGGTCTGTTTTTGAATTAAGATTGAGGAGTTCAAAATACAATGATGTGTTTATTTAGTGTAAGAATCTTGATGTTTACTTTTGTATCATGTCTTATTGTTGCTAGGTAACTAGTGTAATGACACTATGTGATTTTTAGTACAACAACTATACACCTATTAATAGATCTAACATCTTTCAATTATCTATGGAATTATGAATCGATCATCATTGAAAACCTGGAAGTACTGGACGGCCGTTTCATCTCAGTACGAAACTCCTCATCGGTGTGCATACACAATCCTGCACGCTGGGTTCGAACCCGAGATCTTTGTCCACGTGAGCAAACGCCTAGCCTCCAGACCACTGTTAATGTCTAACTTCTCGATTATTCGATTTATAATAACTAATAATAATGATAATAATCATAATAACCATGATGAAGTTTATTCCAGTATCACTAAAGCAGGTGTAAGGAATTTCAGATATTCATTGCATCTCTAGAAGAGTACAAAGATTTATTTACAAGTATTTTAAAATTTTTAATATTTTCGATTCAACTTTCTATGAACTGAATAAAAATTGTCTTATTGAATCGGCAACAATGGTTACTATTAACCTCAAGCATATGGTTACCGCAACCCAAATCGACTTATTCAAGGAGACTGTCAATCAGTTTAGAGACTTACATACTCAAAACTAACTAACTTACACAAATATTCTTCGCTTCTTTTCTATCCCAAATGAAATTTAACTATAATGTTACTTATATGAAAAATTAAGTGGATACTGTATGAATTCTTTGAATGGCAACCAGTCATCACCTTTATATATTTTGTTTTAAAAATTTAGCTACAATTATTATACACTTTTTAAAACTGCACTGAAATTTTATTGGACAAAATCGATCATAGATGGGATCTTGGGTGCGCAATGCTAAGGAGTCCCACAATAGGACGAAACGGCCGTCCAGTACTTCCATGTTTTCCATGGTGGTCTAGCTTCAATTGAGTTCTGATTTCAACTATATAAAAAAGATCGGTTACAAAAAATACAAAAATTAGGAACTACCAGTCTCGCGCTAGTGCACATAACCGATAGTTCAAACCACTTCTGTCGTGAGATATCAACTCACTGAAGACAATTGGTGAACGGTTGCTCAACTTCGTGGATTGGTTGAAGTTAGACATTTACACCGTTGCACACCGGTTCACTGGTCTATCAGTTAAGTGCTCTGGTGCGAGACTGGTAGGTCCTGGGTTCGAATCTCTCGAGCTGAGGTCGTGTACACGCACTGCTGAGGAGTCTCATAATAGGACGAAATGGCCGTCCAGTGCTTCCAGGTTTTCGATGGTGGTCTAGCTTCAATTGACTCATGATTTCAACTATGAAAATACTGAAATCTCCACAAAAATCACCCTTCTAACAAACAAACATAAATCATGAGAAATAATCTCATTGGAATATTTCGTTAATAATCCAGCTAAATTTAATTGACTGACAAATAGTTTTTTCTTTGTCTAATAATCAACCTTATTACTTAGACTTATAATTTTTTTTAGTGAGAATTTTTTTGCCATAGTTACCTAATTTTAAAATTTCGATTTCATTAGTTAGATATAAATTTTGAGTATTACCAAGTTAACCCACATAGATACAAACTAGTACTCGTTACAAGCATAAAATAATCATGAATAGATATCGTGTGAATATTTTACATATCGTTTAAAACAAAAACAAACTAAGATAATAGATTAGAGTTACCTTTTAAAATTAACCATTTTATATACATTGCACATATGTGTGTGTGGGTGTGTGTGTGTATGTTTATTTAATTATCGATTGAAAATCATGGAGAACAATAGTAACTGAAATGGCTAAAATATCACCATGTTAACTAGTGACCTATTTCAAGTACATATAATAAGTCTTATATAAGTGCTTATTGATTTACACCATATGTAGTATTGGTAAAATGGTTTTTTTTGTTTGTTTTTGTTTAAGAAAAATTGTATATTAGTATCCGAGTGAACAATATTTTGTTGTTTGATTTTATGATATAAAAGTTCTGGCTAGATGAAATTGTAAAGTTGTAAATTTATAACTAATGATCACAATTGATTGATCATTGGGTGATGATCAATGTCATGCTTGTCAAGTCCTTTTTAGTGCTGATCGAATACTATCGATCAAGTTGTAATGTGGCTACTAGTCTAGGTGGCTCGACACTGCGTGCATTATGTTGAGATAAGGTGATGGTTGGAAGTGGTCAACAAGAAACCCTGGACCCGGGTTTCGTGTTACTTGGCACTTGTCAGCAAGGTGTACCTGTAATCTTGATTGGACTGGTGCTCCCTGATGGATTCGATGTTTCCAGAGTGTCGCTATTATTCTTCGGAAATATTAAAAAAATTGATTTAAATTAAAGTATAGATTTATAAAAAAATAGGTATTAGATCAATTAACAAGAAGAAGGGAGGCGAAATCCGAGTCACACGTACTTGTCGAGCCCCCTGGATTTTGGGACTGTTCCCATTAGCGGTAACGTGAGCGGTGACCTGGGTGGTGGAGATTTGGCCTAATCATTCACTCTACCTATACCCACAATTGATTACAAAAGCTACAAAGAATCATTGCAAAATTATTATTGGTTCTAAAAGAAAGAAAGAGTAGGTCTTCCCAAGAAAAAGAGGAAGGAAAGATGTAATGATTCTGCCCCAAAAAATGCAAAAACATCTATTGAGCCCCGGTAATCGTGCCTTGCTTTGATGTAGTGTTCTTCTCCAGAAGGGCCTACGAGGCTTCATTATGTTAATATGACTGGAAGGGGCAAAAGCGAAAAGAACGTGATCTCGGTTATCTAGTTAAATCTTTTTGTTAATTAAAGGTGAATGAATTTTTGGTCGTAAAGGAACTCATAAATTTGAAAATGGAGACAGATCATCTTGTTGAAGACCAAAAGGATAAGTTGCACTAATACTCCCGTCTTTAGAAAAATATTTTCATTAAATTACCAATATATTCTACCTTATAATTCATTATATATTTGATGAGATGATCAACTGCCATAAAGTTGAAATATACATCTAGTGACATTATTGCGTAGTTTTATCGAAACACCAGAATTTCAACTCTAGTCAACTCAAGATAATAAAATCATGAGGAGTCCGCATAATTTAGTAATTAGATATTGAAAAGATTAAATCAATCAACGTATTTAATCTAGTTTCAGATGATATGGTAGAAAGGTTTTCAATGAAAACCAAATACAATAATGATTGACTGGAACGTAGTTAGATGTAAAGTAGATATGATGCGCGGAACTAATATACATTTTTCCTTGTAAATAATTTAATTTAGAAAGTGAAATTCGATAGGGTATGGTTAATTACGACCAATAACTAATAGGAATTATAAGCAAAGATGAATTGTGGCTACCAGTGGAATCCAGAACGTGCGCTTCTACCTTTTTCAGACTCGTCAACTCGATGTACCTGCTTCCCAGAGTTGATGTTCACTCCACAACTCGAACCAAGTATCGTTTGTTTCAAACACCATTGTGTTATCCACTTAGCTACTGACTCCTGATCGTCACTAGCTTGTGGAGTGGGGTGAAGTGTAAATTCACTTTGTATTGTTTGTTTGAATCTTCCCATTGATATTTATAACTTCAGTCGATCAGTATTTTATCGGCATATATGCATCCCGTGTAGATTGCCACGACATTGCTTTAAGTCACAAGGATTATAAGCAAAGATGGAATCCCGGACATGCGTCTCGTCCCATTTCGGACTCGTCAACTGGATCAACAACAGTGTTAATCATCAATAGGAAGATTCAAACAAACAATACAGAATGAACAACTAGTACGTTAAATGAATGGTAAACAGTTTCCATTTCCTAATCAACATCATCATCACATAAATAATGTTGTATTTCAGTGGTTATACTCAGTGTTTTATCATACATACTCTTATACACAAGTTATTAAAAATTCCATATTATTTTTTTCTTTATTTCTCCAGTGATTGAAATAAACGATACGTTAGACTGATTACAAAATGATGGATTATGAATATTTAAGCTGACAGGGATTAACTACATTCTTATAAGTATCATATAAATATTTCAAAGGTAACAGCAAACAAAGAGAATTAAATATCTAAATTTGAATAAATGGAATGACAGAAAATTAGTAGTATGGTAATTTTAAAGTAAACAGAGACTGACCAGTTGCAGTCCTAAGAAATCGATGGGAAGATTCAAACAAACAATACTAAGTTGAATTTAAACTTCACCCCATCGCACAAGCAAGTGGCTATCAGGACTCAGTGGCCGAGTGGATAACGCCATGGCGTTTGAAGCGAGGGTACTGGGTTCGAGTCTCAAAGTGAACATCAACTCTGAGATGCAGGTACATCCAGCTGACGAGTCCCAAATAGGACGAAACGCACGTCAAACTGGATTCCACTGCTAGCCACTATCCATCTCTGCTAACCATGCTTGTGAATTAAGGTATATCGAGGCAATACGCATAGTATGCACATATGCCAATTAGAGACTGACCAGTTGCAGTCCTAACAAATCGATGGGAAGATTCAAACAAACAATACTAAGTTGAATTTAAAGTAAACAGTTGTTTTTTTTTAGATTCACCTAATATTGTTTGTTTGAATCTTCCCATTGATACTTAGGACTGCAACTGGTCAGTCTCTTATTAGCATATGTGCATACTGTGCGTATTGCCTCGATATATCCTTAATTCATAAGCATTGTAAACAAAGATGGATAGTGGCTAGTAGTGGAATCCAGG